TCAGCTCCACCACTCACCCTGGCAGGACTTGTGAAGGGAAGCATAATGCAGCGCCGGCACATTTTAAAATTCAAGGTCTCCCTAACTGACGAATTTGTTGGATATATTTTGTTGAAACTGCCAGGGGTACAAAGCCTTAAAGGACTTTACCAGGAGTATTAAGCCCAAATGAGCCAGGGACAAGAGGCCATCGCTGTCCTCGAAGCAGCCCCATTGGACTCACGGCCCCAGGGGGACGCATGTTGCTGCCCCACATGCCCTGGGCAGCCCTTGCCAAGGGCCATCATCACCAGGCCTTCCTGGATGCACTCTCAGTGCAGACACATTCAAAACACTGAATATATTTTTCAAATTTGCATTGAGCAGTTTGCATTCCTCAAATTGTTATCACGTTATTTTTCTTTTCTGATCTATTTCTTTCTTTTCCCTTTGCCCGGTTCTACCTGGAATTCAGATTTACATAACGCGTAACCCAACATGTCAAGCTATGGGAAGGCTCCAGAGGCACGCGGTGATGCCACAGCGCAGCCCTTTGTCATGCTAATGATCCCTTCCCAGCTGCTCCCGCACGGAGCCGGGCGGCTGCCGCACCTCCGCACGGTGCCTGCGCCAAGTCTCTCCGGGCACCTCTGAGCAAGGCAGAGAGCTAAAGAACAGCAATTTAATATTGCAGCTCGGCTGCCACAGGGAGCAGCAAGCCAGGATTTAGAGAGCAATACCCTTCTGCTGTAATTTGTGTTTTTCCCAAGCCTCATTCCCTCTCCATGCACATCTTCACAGCAGCTCTGAGTGAGGCAGCACAGGAAAACACAGGGACATGATCCAAGGTCTCAATTTGGCACCTGGCAAGGTAGCACTATGCGATCAGGGAGGGGTTTTGATGTGCAAGGTGCTCTCTCCATGATGGCCTGGTAGTGCTGTGGCTGCACTGGTCAAATTAAAACCAAGGCCTTTCCTTCTTTCCCCGCCAAAAGAAAGAGTTTCCTATATACAAAGTTATCAGTCTGTGGCTTCTTCATTGCTTGTGTTGATATTTGGCTAAGGGAAGTTCGTCTTGCCATGTTTCAAGGGCTGATGAAGGTATTTTACTGATCACACATGAAAACACACATCAGTCAGAGTTAAGCAACAGGCCCTTCCAAGGGGTAGCTCATTTACACCCATTGAAACAGGTGTGTGATAAAATGGGTGTATGCGATTAAAATCTCTTGGCTAGAGTGAAGAATAAAGAAATGGTCTGAGGGTAGCTTATGCCCTATTCATATTTAAAGATTTTCTTCATTCCTATGATGGCTATGCAGATTATTTTAAAGCTCCAGTATAGGAGTAGCTCTGCATTTAGGATATATTTCTTGCCTGCCTGACCACTGCACCCCTTACTCACACTGAAAACACAACGTTAATTTGCTGCACTTACACCAGGTAGCTCCCTCGTAAACCAGGATCGTATCTGTCAAGCAGAGGAAAACACCAGAGAGGGAACAAAATGTACCCAGGAATGAAATATTTCTTGTTCAATAGTTAAGAATTATTTGACCCCTGTTTTCAGGAAAATAATGTTATAGTATAGAAGTAAAAAAAAAGGATTAGGTGATCACATTGGTTGAAACTTGCTCAAGCAAAAATCAGGAAAGAGAAAATATTTAGAGCATGTTATATGTGCAGGTAGTAGCACTTACTGCGTATATGCTGCTTGGTGATTTGTAATGGGAAGGGCAATTGCATTCTGAGGCAAAGCCACACTGCTTTGTTCACAGGAAGAAATGGTCCCATGGCTGCCACAGAACTAAGGGGACATGATCAGTAACAGGGGCTCAGTCACATAAAGTAAGGTGTTTATCCTTTGGATTTCTACAACAGAAGGAAGCCCCCCTGCGCCAAGGGTTTTTTAGGGCTGATGCTGATGAAGGAAGGGACCTCAGAGTATAAGCAGGCACTGTGGGAGAGAGACAATTTTGGTGCTGGGGAATGAAACCACTTGCAAGGTTAATTTGCTACCCATCTCGACTGGCAGGAGCAGAGGGGCTCCCCACAGGCGCAGGGAAAGCGAGCGGCCAGGGAAAGGCCATCCCCACGGAGGCCTTTCCGCAGCGCTCCCGCTCCCAGGCGGTGCCGTGGCCGGCAGCCAAGTTCCCACGAGGGAGGCAGGGCCGCGGGCGCCGCGACTGGCACCCTGTCACCTTCCCGCAGAGCTGCCACGGCCGCTGCTCCGCAGGGAGCCCGGCCGTGCCGGGAAAGCAGAGCCCGGCCGCGCCGGGAAAGCCGAGCCCGGCCACGCCGGGAAAGCCGAGCCCGGCTGGAGAGCCCAGCTCGCTGACCTTGAGCGGACAGGCCGTTTATCCCATCGCTGCCACGGCGCTGTGACAGATTAGATGCTCCCTGCAGCAAATTGGACAATGATGCCATGCTAATTGAGAAGAATTACCAGCTTCAGAAGAGCAGGTACTCTGCAAATTCAGGAGCTCCCTACTAGGGATTTTGTGGGGTTTCTACTGGAGAGGTTTTCATTTTTGGCTCAGCATGCACACTGGTAAGCATACCCAGAGCACACACCCACAATTTCTCCTTGCACTCCCTGCAAGGCTCCAAGGAGGACTCAATAGAGATATTAAAAGAAGTTAAGGCACTTGCCTACCTGACCTTGCAGCTGCCTCTGAGGGGAGAGCCTTGCAGCCTACCTTTTCCCTGCAAAGCTGGGGTGCTGCAGCAGCACACTAGAGCTGCACCCTGCTCTGGCCTCCTGGCTCCCTCTTAAAGACTTGGGGAAGCAGCACCTGCCCAAAGGCAGCCAGTTAATGCAACACTCTGCACTTGCCTGGCTGCTCTCTGCTGGAGAAGCCACAAGGTGCTTTTTGGGGAGAGAAGGGCAGGACCCACCCCAGGTCCCCTCAGCTCCAAGGCTGCTTTGGGCCCTGAGCATCCCAAAGCAACCAGGGAGAGCGGACCCTTCAGCGGGAGTCACGCTCGGGGACAAAATGCCAAGGAAATCCTGTGACCGACTCGCTCTTTCTTGCTGAAGGTTGCCAAACTTCTTCTATGCCTTCAGAGAGCAGCAATTGCATTTTGTTGGGTCCCCAGCCAGGAGCTCAAGGTCACTGGACTGCCAGGAGCCTGGTGCGGGCTGCACCCATGGCAGGCCCAACTCGGCACCTTCAACCCTGTCACTAACTTGCCAACAGAGTGAAAGCAGCAGCATCTCAGCAAGGGTGTTAAGTATAAATGAAGCACAATAATATTGTTTGATGTGCTTTGAGAAATAAAAGCATTTTTTTTTTCTTTTTTTCCAACTCAAATCCGCTACACATTTCCTTGGGAAATGTATTATGTGGTGGAAAGTCATCCCGAAGATAAAACAGCTCTTTTATTCTCAGCAACAGTAAAACAGACCTGACAATATAAAACAGCTTTTCCTGCTCCTGCTTTCCACGTCCTGCCAGGGAGCTGCTACAGCGCAGGCCAGCTGAGGCTAGCACGGTGCTTCACGGTGCTGCAGTCCTAGCTGTAGCTAACGATGCAGCGCCGAGCAGTCTCCGCGGAGAACAGCTCCCGCAGGCACATGGACCCGTACCGAGTTCAGCAGCATCCGCTGAATGGTCCCGTGTGGGACGTAAGGGTGAAAGACATTCAGAAGATCTGCAAGAAGCACTTCTTAAAAAACTGGGGTAGTAGCAGTAATGTACAGCACCATGTGGTGTAAAAAGGGCCTATTTGGTTTATACCCTCCACATACCAGGAAGCCAAAGAAAATAAAAGCTATGAAACATATTAAGCGTAATCGAGGTAGGGATTTTGAACAAGATCCATGGTACTTTTTCCAATTGATTACGGTTGTTTCCAGCTCTCCCTTTTAGCACAAAAAGCCTTTGTGTCTTCTGAAGCAAACAGAATAACTCAGTGGATGGTCGAGTCCCTCGCGTCTCCTCTTGGCACCTGCAGAGACCACTCAACTTGGGCTGCTCTTCCCCAGATGAGGGGACGTTTCTTCCCACGCAGCTACTGGTGACGCTCAGCAGGGCTGCCCAAGGAACTGGAGCTGCTGCACAGCCCAGAGCAGATGCAGTTCGGACGATGAATCACATCAGCTGCTCCCAATGTCAACTCAGGAGACACTGCAGTGACCCTATGCGCCAATCCAGGAGCCCTGAAGGCCACAAAGCTTTCGGCTCTCCCCAAACTGATCTGTGGCCAGGGCAACATTTGGCTTAACACCCTCTGTGGCTGGTCCTACCAGCCCACAGTGACGTCTGCAGCTTCTCCATGGCCATCCCAAAGGCTCCTGAAGACCCAACGAGGCAGCTGCTCTCCTGGACCCAACCTGGGGATCAACCTTGGCATGAGCTCCTCAGCACGGGAGCAGGGTGACCAAACGGTGACAAAATGGCTTGGGTGAGGGAAGGGAATACAGGGGAAAAGGATCCAGTAGCTATCAAGAGATGTAAAATTAAAATGAATTTTGGTCATTTTAATAAATATATATATCAAGGAAATCTCACTTTACTACAACAACACATTAGTATACAAGCATCTAATATTTAAGCTTAAAACATCAAATGTTTATCAAATATTGGAAAAGAGCAGACATGACTATACTATCTGGGTGTAACACAAGAAAAATCAGCTTTTTTAAAAAAAATTGGTCCTTGTGGACAAACATCTAAATGATGATCCTACTCATACACTGTATGAATGAGATCTATATTTAATATTATTATTAATAAAAAAGCTTCTTTCTTGGAGAAATCAGGTGAGATTTGTATTTCTTTTATCCATCACTCTCCACAGTGATAACCCCTACAAACCTGCCAATCTCAGCTTTACCTGGTCGCATAAAGGTTATCACAGATTCCTGACCTAGATGCTCTTTTCGGGGTAGCTCTGGCTGGGGAGCTTAGGTGCCCAGAGCCCCTTGGAAAGCCCATGCCCAGAGCCCAGGTGAATCCTGCCCTTTGCCATGGCACTTGGATGCTGCAGGCACAGGGAGCTCTTAGGAGATGGCCACAGCTGAGACTTTGGCCAAATACATCCAACCTCTGATTTTGGGAACAGCAGGAACTTTTTAACTTGACGGGTCCAAGACATGCAGTGCTCTCCGGCCAGCCCTGGCTAATGTGTGGGTTAAACAGCAGTCGTTTGCAAATAGCCTATCCGGGGAATGTCTAAATTGGGTCCATAGCCACTGAAATCTCAGCTCATTTCTCCAAAATGTTCTTTTTTAAAATCAAACCCCTTACATTCATTCAGATAAAGTCATGTTTATCGCCACATTCTTGATTAACATTGTGCTTTTTGTTTTCTTTTCTTTTTGAAATCAACAGCAAAAGAAGTCATATAAAACTCCCGCATGCTTTTGCAATCTAAAAGACAGAAAATTATGCGAAACAGAACAAAGTATAAAACATGCCACTGGTTCATGAACTTCATTATACGAAGGAGGAGGAAAAAAAGAGCCCCAGCAACAGACAGTTGCCATAGAAACGCTCAAGCATCCGATGCTTGTTTACAAGAGACATCTCTCTATTGTTTCTTAAACCCCTTCCTAAGGATGGCAAATCAAAAAGCAACTGAGCATCAAAAAGGAAGAACAGAGATGTTTGAATAGGAAGTTGAACTCAGTACTTCAAAGGTTAAAGGTTTCTAATAATGTTGATCCACCCTGTCCTTGTAGGGTTTTTTTTTTTCTTTTCCTTTTTATGTTTAGGCTAAATCCCTGCTGTATCACTGATTTACACTTAATTCTCACGCTGGCAAAAATTAAGACAAAAAGTAAGGCACCAAAAAAAACCTGCCCTGTGTAACCATGAGCCTCGTTGGTTATTACAGCCAAGGTGAAAATGTGCAAGCACTTGAGCTGCACACTGCTGATTAAAACCCCATAAAGAGGAGCCTCCTCATGCTACGTCCTATTTTGTCAGCTGGACAAGGCGCTGGGTGCAGGAACTGAGGAGCATCGGTGCAAAACGTGAGGATGATTTGCTCCCAGTCTGCACAGCCAGTCTTGTGCCGTAGCAAGCCCTGCGTTGGGAGAAGCACACCACCCTTGCTGGTAGCATCATTTGTCTACCAGGCTTCCAACTCCTTGGTAAACATAACAGAGGATCTTCTTAATTAACGGCAGACTTCTTGGGGTCAGGGATATAGAAAACGATATGTTTTCCCCATCTGGTTGATTGGTATTTTCGGTAACAAAAGCTACACCATAGCTGGATATGCTACAGTGCCGAGCCGCAACACATCTGTGCTCTGTACAAAGTCTCCACACTTACACACAGCCCAATGATGCAGATCTTGGGGCCTTTATGTAAGCGGCTCCTCAGTCACTCACAACTACACGTAATGTTTGTGGCATGATTGTTTCACTTGTAGAAAACTATAAAAAAATCCATTGAAAATAAAATTTTGATAGCTAGGTGGACATGCTGCGCATGCTTCAGCAGAGCGGGAAAGGCGCCTCATACTTTGCTTCCTTTGCTGCAGCACGTTTTGTTACTCGGTAGTGATTCCTTTTTCCTTATGGATTTTTTCCAAGATTCACCGGTGTTAATCTTGTCACTGCATCCAGTCTCAAAATAATCGTAAAATTTGCCTTTACACTCGAGGGCATGGGGGCCTCTGAGGGCTTCACAGCTTAGGATGCTGCCGTCTCGCTCAGCCTCGTCGCCTCCCTTCTCGTCACTAAATTTTGCCTGTTCCTGGTCACCGTGAGGCCGGGCAGGAGCGAGGAACATTTCACCAGTAGGCGCCTGGTTGTCGCTCCCGTACGGAGCGGCACCAGGAAGACCATAATCCGCTTGCTGGGAACAGCCTGGCAAAGATATGGGTGGGGAGGAGGAGGAAGAGGAGGAAGAGGAAGTATTTTCTGTGCTAGCGTTAACGGAGTAGGGCAGGTTTAAGTAGTGGCCGCCACACTCCTGGTAGAAGCAGCAGGCGTGAAGCTTCTCATACTCCTCCTTGGCCATCCGCAGCCGCTTCCTGTAGGGACAGTTCTGTGGCACGAACCACTCCTGCGGCGAGGTGCCGCCAAAGGAGCAAGCGGAGAAGCACCAGCTATTCTGCATGACGATCTCCCCGTGGATCCTTTTCATGAGGTTGTTGATGAGCACCGACCGCCGCAGGTAGACCTCGGGGTCGTCGATGAACTTCAGCTTCTCCAGAGACATGTAAAGGATGTGGGCCCGCTCCTCGAACACCGAGATGGTCTGAAAATGCAAGAAATAGAGACTGAGATAAGTGGGCAAGGAGGAGGCCAAGGAAGCAGAATCCGTCTCTTTCCTTGCAAGCCAGGCTGAACCATAAAGCAACCAGGCAGCTTTGCCCTGGCAGTCCCAGGGGGTTTTCTGATGCGAACAAACCCAAGTCAGTCTCCCATGGAGCCTTCAACAAGGCCGCAAGCCTGGGCACTGGCCCCCCACCACAGTGCGGCTGCCAAAGCGTGGCCGGTGCCACCGGCGGCCAAGAGGTCCCTGTTGGCCGAGCACTGGAGCGGCGCAGTGAAGGCGGCGGGAAGAGCCCGGCTCAGGGCACCATGGCCACATGTGGCGAGCAGACGCCAGGCCGCACGCGCTCCGCAGGACAGCAGGGATGGGGCCGGGGTCGGGCAATGAAGAGCAGGCAGGGATCTGCAGATCCTGCCTTCCCGGTAGGATCACCTCTGGGACACCAGCAGCACAGAGAGGTTGCTCTCCTGGACGGCCCCGGGCCCAGCCCCACAACCAGGCCTGGACAACCAAAGCAGAGACGGGCAGCGTGCACCACGGTGCACAGCATTAACTAGTCTGCACTGCGAGCAGGAATTCGGCCGGCACGGACAGGGAGGAGCCGCGCACGGAGCGCGACGGCTCCCGGTCCCCACACGTACCCGCTGTCGCTTCCCTTGCCCACAGGGCTGCAGCGTTCTGCGGCGCGAGTCGCGGCAAGGAGGCCTGCAGGAGCCTGAGGCACAGCTGCTTTTCACATCCCTTCAGCTCTCCCCAGCCCTCTGGCTCTTTCTGCAGCCCAGGCCTGTCTGCAGGGCTCAGACGCAACGTGACGCCTCATAAAAACAAAAGCTGGCCGTGTTTTTCATGCGGTCCCCAGCTGAAACCGCTCCGATACAGGGAGTAAAAATGACTCACTCTAAATTGTGCTAAGCCTATAGGTTAATCTCTCTCCTTTTCACTGAAGTCATAGCCAGTGAACCCATAAAAGCCTCAAGGTCCTCCTGGAGGTACGTCCTGGATAGCCACCAGTAGGAACAAGCTGGCAAAGGCCTTCTGCTACAAATGCTTGGTCCAGAGCCCTATCGTCCCGCTCCGGGCGGAGAAGGAACCCGAGCACATAGCTTGCCCTTTCTGGGCAGAGGAGGCATACAAATGCGCAAAGAATAAAAATTACATCATACATGGATTCTAAAAATGTGTAAGGAAGTCAAAGAAATCTGGTGGGAATCCTCCCTCCCCCAGAGCTCCGTGGTGCTGAGGAGGAAACGCAGCTGTGCTGGAAAGCACAAGTCAGCGACCTGAGATGTCTGACATGACACTTCCATGACAGCACAAAACGATGCCCGAGACAGGTCTGTCTGGCCAATACCTCCCCAGCGGGTTTCCACACTACCAGAAAGGACAAACAACCAGTCATTTCTAGGAGTCAAATAATCACTGGTACAAAAATCCGACAACTTCTTCAAAAAAAAATCTGGCTGAAATGAGAGAACGGTGTGTGTATAAATGTATGTACACACACAGTGTATACAGCACATGTTTCAATACCCCCTGTACCATTTCTTCATTGCTCTGCAAGTTGATCAAACACCTTCTGGGATTAATGACAGGGCAGCTTTCACCTTCTGGTCAATTATTCACTTCCAGCCAAAACTATCTGTAGATAAAAAATTTGCTTGGCCACGCTGAGGTCCTTGGCTTGTCATTACTGCTCACTCCTTCTAAGTGAAAATCTCTCTGGAGAAATAGGACCCAAGTGGCCAGACCTCCCCAGGAGGTGCCCCTGGTATGAAGGAGGGCTGAAATTTAGTCTCATCTCAGAGGCTGCCTCCCCAGGTGGGAACGGCGATGCAAGCAAAGATAACATAGGAACTTGCTCTGCATCTTGCTTTGTTTTAGTTTCTGCCTCTGGGGCTCTTGTGGTACGACTGCCTCCCATGAGCAGTGCTTTAATCACGTTCTATTATGTCATCTCTAACTCCACGAGTAAATGGATAGCACAGGAGCACCAGGGCCAGGTATGGTCCCTCAAGCGAAGGATGAGGCCTCAAGGTGCAAGCCACCCTTGAGCAACATCAGTCCAGGTGTTCGGTTCCTTACAGAACCGAGCAAGGGCATAAAACCTCTCATAAAAGTCAGGTTGCAATTTTTGATTTGCCAGCCTGGGAAATGCTTGTTCTAATCCCTCTCTTGGCGGCTTTAATAAAAAAAAATCATTTACTAATCTGTTCTTTTGGTGTTATTAGCTTTTTAATAAACAGGATTAAACACTGAAGCAGATTGAACTCCCTTTTCTAGTCATTCTGATTCTCTAGAGGATCCCTCTACACATTTGGGGATTTATGAACCCCACTATTATTTTYTCCCCCAGGAAAAAAAAAAAAAAAAAAAAAAGTTTTGAATGAATGGGGGAACAGGGATCCTTTTTATTTACCATGTTCATTTTGGTCATTCAGGCAGTTTTTGTAAAGATGACCTAAGCTATTCAAGACGAAACGGTGTTCCTGAGGACACCCAAGTTACTTGCACTGCCAGTTGTTACGAGCGAAGAAATGCCTTCGCTGCTAGAGCCACCCGATGACAACAGAACAATAAATGCGAGCGGGTGAGAACTACTCGTTTCTAAGCAAACAGCTGGATCATTCCTCTCATTTCAGCGGAGCATTTCAGCCTCCTGGAAATGGGTCAACCAAGTGTTACTAAGCACCCAAAACTCAGAGCAAAAAAAAATAACGACTTCTAGAAAACATACTTTATGTGCACAGCTGCCGAGCGGCGGATGAAAATCCTCTTCTTCCACATATTTCCTTTTAAAGTATGTGATCTTGGGCGTCGTTACGGGACTCGAAATCCCCCGGTAAGGCGCTCCTGCGGGCCGTAAATCAGACACACACATGACACGCGGTTTGCCGGGGGTTTCCTCCAGGCGCGGCCCGTGTCGCTGCCCTCGCCCGCCGCGGGAGCCGCTCCGCGCCGCTCCGCGCCGCGCACTCCCCGCGCCCGCGGGGCCGGCCCGGAGGCGCCCACCTACCTGCGCCGGGGCCGGGGCCGGGGCGGCCGCAGCAGGGCGGCTCCCAGAGGGGGCGGCACGCGGCTCCCTCGGCGGCTCCCTCGGCGGCGCTGGGGGGGCCCAGCCGCTGCATGGGCAGCACCAGGGTCATCGCGGGCGCCCGGCACCTGCAAGCGAAGCAGCGGCGTGAGCGACCGCCGAGCCCCGCCGCGCTCGCCCTGGCCGCGCTCCGCTGCCAACCGCCTGCCCCCCGCCTTGCCTTTTCCTCCCTCTTTGTCGCAAAGCAGAAGCCCCGGCCCCGGCCGAGCCCCCGCAGGGCGCCCCGCGCTCCCCGCCGCCGGCCCACGCACCGGCTCCGATCCGCTCACTCGCTGCCCATCTTCCCCCGGCGGGGCTGCGAGCCCGGCTCCGCGCCGCTTCCTCCCTGCCTGCCTCCTTCCTTCCTTCCTTGGCTCCCGCGGAGCGGCGCGGCCAGCCGCGACTTCAGGCAGTTGTTCGCAGCAGCCCCGCGCGGGCCGCCCCGGAGCTGCCTCCAGTCAAAACACGGCGAGACTCAGACAGAAAATTGGCGGCGCTTCCCAGAGCGGCGGCTCGCGGCCGCTGCGCGGGGGCCAAGCACAACATCGGCGCGGCCCGAGCGCCGCAGCGCTGCGCGGGGGCTGCGCGGGGGCTGCGCGGGGCCGC